TTAGGACGGAGCTGAGGCCAAGTGAAGGGCTGCAGTAGACACAAGGCTGGAATAAAATTAATGAATCCATCCTAGACTCAACAGGACTCATAATCTGGGTCAGGGCCGCAGCCCCAGGAGCGTGTGCCAATGCAGTTGGTGAGGGAAGGGGTTACTTGAAATTAATGCAGCTTTGTGTGAAATTCTTACAACTTCTATCTTTGAATTTGTGCTTTGAAGGTTAAGTCCAATTGGACAAATGAGTTTGAGCCTAGAGCCTAAAGGCTTGGCTCACATTCAATCTGCCCTCCAGTTCTCAGCCCAGAACTGGTTTCTGGGCATCTGATCCCTGCCCCCTAGTGGTCGAAATCCCACACCACCTCCCTTCTGACCTCTCCTGTGAGACCAGCAGCAAACAGGTCACATGTGTTGGGGGGAGAGGCCCACACCCCACGTCTGCCATTGCCTTTTGCTCCTGCAAGGGGTCGGGGTGTGGATCTTGGGAGTCAGGCCCATGTCCTACACCATCTCTGGCTGGTGCACGGTTGTGATCATCTCTACCCAGAGCTGGCAGCACCAGGGCACGTTCAACTCAGGAGAGGGCCTCTCACCACTCCAGTGAAGACACCAATAATTTCCTCCTTGTAATCGCTTAGGAGTTCCAGCCTGGAGGTTGCTATGGTTCAGAAAGCAGATTCTTAGGAAAGGCAGACTGACTTCTTCAGCCCCAGCGGGAGCCTCCCTTCTCTTTTCACAATCGGCCCTACTAGTTACATAGCTGGACCTACTTACAATTCTTTCCCCTTAACTGTACTACTTTAGTTAGTTCTTCATTATGGCATCATGATGAACTCCTAATTATTTTCCCTCTTCTTCCCTGCTCAATTCATTCAGCCATTGTGAACAAATTACCTAAAACACCACTTTGATCATGCTAAGATGCTTTCAGGAATCCTGCGGCCTACTGTTGACAAACTCTTCAGCCAAGTGTTCATGGTCCTTCCTTCTTTTGCATACTCCAGCTATAATACATGTAATAATTTCACCAAATTAAAGCACTCGTCATCTCCTTTTCATACCTTACACTTGCTCATCACTTTGTCTCTGCTAAAACCATTTGCAGTATCTGCTTTGCTTCCCCTTGCTTCATAACCATCTCAACCTGGAAAATCTAACTCTTCTTACAGCTTGAGTGGCACCGATGAAGTCTTCCATCATAAACAAAGTCACATGGTGAATCCAGTCTTCTCTAAGTGTAATACCATTTAGTTTTGTCTTTCAAGTACGGCTTGTTTTGGGCTTTCTGGGTAGAGTACATTGCCCTCCGCTGTAAGCCCCTGGAGGACAAGAAGCATGTCCTCTCACCTTTGTACATCCAAAAGCTTCCCACTGGGGCCCTGGGTGTACCGGGCTCTCAGTGCCTGTCTTCTGGGTCTGATGAACAAATGAATCTGCTGTGTAAACAGATCAGGTCTTCTGAAAGCCTAGCACACCTGGAACTCTGCTGCATCATCCCTTCCCTCTTCTCCCTTCACCTAACAAAACATCCTGCTGCTTTTCAGACCCAAGCCCATCAAACACCTGTGTCATCATTATCAACACTAACACAAATTCAGCTCACACTTTTTATTAGTGTTTAAAGTATTATATTCTGATGTTTAGAATATGTTCAAAGAGAACACCTGCTACTTGAGTGCTCTTATTTTCAACCTCTTGAGGGCAATTTATTCATTACTATATGAAAGTGAACTGTTTAATAACTTATAACTGTCAGGGAGAAAAGGTAAATTGTAGTCACTCTCATCATGCTGGATACTTGAAATTAATTTGTTTTTCCACTTGTAATTATTAATCTCCTAATTTCAAGTCTACTTTAGCACTAATTAAGAAAAATAATGAAATAAACAGAGGGGGATTTTTGTTGCCAAAGTTTCATTCATTGAAATTAGTATTTTATTAAATATTCTATGCTTGATTCAGAATGCAAGTGAATTATCACAATTTCATAAATGTCTGCAATGCCTTTCTCTTGCTCAGATTATGAGCCCCCAACAAATAAGATCATTAATCCATCAAACAATTAAACTTTAAAATTCTGTGTGATAAAAACTTAATCTCCTGAAGGAAAAAGTACACTAATGAAATTAAAGCAGGAACACCTTTAAAATACACTGTATTACTTTACAAAAAGCTATGTAATTTTTAATTTTTACATAGAAACATCAAGATGATTATATACATGATCTGAATTAAAATCCATTATAATAAAAACATGCATTTGGAAGATTGTCACATTCCATTCAGAGGAATCTGTAAGCAGGCAATGGAGAGAACAAGGGGGAAAGGGACGCTAGAACTGGGGAAACATTACACATGTTAATGTACAACATTAACACAATTCTGTAGAAAATTCATATTGCATGAATTTCTAAAAGGAACAAAATGTAGAACTTTTTATAGACTAGGTAGGACATGGTTGGGAGTTAGTAGCCACATTTAGGAGAATCTTAAGTGGAGAGTGAAGGCATAGCTATTTCTATATTCCTTGTATGTAAACTTGGCTCTAAAATACTTAATTTAAGGATAGCCTATGGCTCAGGGAAAGATTAGGACGGTTAGAACGTACTGAGTTCCCACCACAGACCCAGATAAGGAGAAAGAACACTAGCAAACACTAGGTATGATCATCATAGACTAGTACCACTTCTTGAGTAACTGCCCTCAGCCAGGTGCTATTTCAAGGGCTTCAATGCATTATTTCATTTTATCTTATCAATAAGTCTTGCTGGCTAGGTGTTATTATTTTCCTTTTGTGGATAGGAAAATCGAGACACAGAGACAAAGAATTCTTCCTCTGTCACAACAATGACAACAGCAGTATAGCAAAATAAAGAAAAAGGCAGTTTTATTGAAGAATTGTACCATGAATAAAATTAAGAAAAACACCACCAAATTAAAAATGCCTAATTACACCATAGAAGCCACAAAAGGAAGAGAAAAGGAACTTTCTATCCAGGCTAAATGATAGCAAGGTGAACCAAGATCTTAAGCCCCCATGGCACAAAAAAAAGGCACTTCTTGCCTTTTTTGAGCCCTCCAAAAACCCAGTCTTCCTTATAGCATCACACTAACCTAGGGGAAGCGGGGTGGGGACTCCCTTTTCCCAATGTCAGAGTCCAGATATTAAAAGGCAAGTTTACTTTACTCTCTGTCTGCACCGTAAGGATAGAGCTCACAGGGAGCAACAGCTGCTGGAAATATGATTTTCACCCTCTGTGCTAACACCCACAGCCACAATTCTAGGCAGCAGGAAGAAAAGTTAAGTGCCAAAGAGGTCAAGAATTATGCTCTAGAAGAAAGGGCAGTATATGAACAGCATTAAATAAAAGTTAGGAGTTAAGAGAGGGTAGTTAGAAAGCTATAGAAATAAGAGGAAAAAATCAATTGGGAATGAACTAAAAAAAGCAAATGCAATTAAAAAAAAAAAAAAAAAAAAAGACTGAAGCTCCAAGCTTTAATAAGTACCATCCAACTTGGAAGGGATTTTTTTTTGTAGTCCAAACACACAATAAGGATGTAGAACTACTGCAACAGCAAAACAATTATTAACACCTTACCAATATTTTACAGAATATTCAACTTATCAATTATTAAATTATTTTATTTTTCCCCATAGCTTTCTTAAGATTGTAAAGAAATATACACTTGTTGCAAATCATTAATTGGTTCTTAGACCTAAACCAAAAAATTCTTCAGGAAAGATATAATATATAGTGCACCTAATGTATAACAAAAGGGTAACAAAAATATCATTTTGACAGGCATCCCTTGGTATTTAAAGGATTTTGTTGACAGACATCTCACAAAAATATGACATTACTTTAGTCAATTTTCTATGTAAACTAGTAAACTTTCAGATGAAATAGGGAAAATTTTACAATTACTGTCCTTGCCAACCATTTTTACTGTTCTGATCAACAGCAACCAAATTCTCAAGAGGCATAAACCTCCATGAGACAACTGGAAGAAGTGGTCATCAAATAACCACAAACACTGATAATCAAGGATAAGAAGTTTAATTCTTAGGATCTCTGAAGAAGTCTGGTAGAAAGTGACATCCAGCTTCATTGTGTCCAGTAAGTAGATATTGAAAAAAATTAAACCTGACTGGCTTTCAGATCTAATAACAAGTTCCAATCCCTGAAAAAAATGCAAGGTTATGAAAACTACACAAATGCATGTTGTGTTTTTTCCCATGTCAAACAGGCATGTTTACCCTCTGATTGTCTCTGGAGCTGCTACAACTTTATCAGTATTTTTGTATGTTTTGCAAGCTAAAACACTACTTGCTGAGTCCTGTTAAAAGCCAACAATAGGTAATGTATACAAACCCAAATATAACTAGCGCTTCCATTTGTTCAACCTCTCCAAACTCAACAATAGAAACAATTACATAGATGCTACAATGGCACAAATAGATCAGAGGCCCTATTCCTCTCTGACTTTCTTTTTCTTTACCTCTTCTTTCCTACCTTGGACCCCATGAAAGATTAAGCTAGAGAGGGGTAGGGAAGTACTTGGGTATTCTTTTCCCTTTCCAACCTTAAATTGGAAAATAAAGAAGCATTATGGTCCCTCAAAACAACAGAGATAACAAAATACCCATTTTCCTCAGATTTAATCCTGGAAATCTGGAGCAGACATGCTCTTTTACCTGTTCACAACTGTACTCTAAAGCCATAAACTAATATTCTTAATGAGAGAGTATTTTTGTAGAGAAACACGTGGTATTCCTGTATAACATATGCACTTCCCATAAGCCACTGTGTGTCAGGAAAACACCATTACATCAAAGATGCTATTACAACGTTCTAACCAGTCTAAACTTAGATGAAATTTAAATAGCAAGATTATACTGAGAAGAGTCTCAGTTAATGGTATTCCTCAATGCCATGTGATAATGGAAGGCTTGGCTCCCATGCCAGAGGACTAGGGGAAGACAGGACAATGCAAAGTCCTACCTGGTAGGCATCAGGAATGTTGACAGTTTCTCCATGCTCCCCGACATAGCCAATGATGCCTTTGCCCCAGGGGACCTGCACCTCATTTGAGTTCTCTGTGCTGCTGCAAGGAAGCAGTGGGGTTCCTGCATGCACATCAAAGAACTTGGAGACCAAGCTCTTCTTGCCAGCGGCTGCCCCTTCCACTAGGAAGAGAGAGCAGCGGTCAGCATCCACCATGAGACAGACAAAGATGAGGATCTTGTAGCTCAGGCTGGTGAGGTCAAGGTCATTGGAGATGTCTTTGACCAGTTCCAGGAAGAACTGCCGCTCGTTATGCTTTTTGAGGTGGCACTTGTAGTCGATGGCCGGAGGGGGATACTGAGGCAGATTCACCCTGGACTCCAGCAGGGCACTGAGGATGTGAGCTGTGGTGGGGGGCAGAGAGCTGGCCTTCCGGAGAAGTGCCCTCCGCCGGACACTGCTCAGGGGCTCCTGGGCCCGGGAGGTCACTTGTTCATCGTAGGTCCTGTTCACGTGGATGGCCTTGGAACGGGCAAAGCTCTTCCTCAGCTCCTTCTGAGAAGCTCTCCGCTGCAGGTTCCCATCGCCCTGGCAGCCACTGGCCCAGCAGGGACTCAAGGGAACCCTGCCACCGTCCCCACCTCCAGGAGCGGGCTGGCTGCTTGGAGAGCCATCTGGTCCAGTGCTGCCACCAAGGCTGCTCCCGCCTCTGCCACTGCCATGGGCCACACTGCCCGTGTCAGCCAGAGCAGGCCTCGAGTCCGGAGCGCCCTGACCCTGACTGTGTCTCTGCAGCCACTTCTCCACCAACTCCTGCTTCCCCTTGCGCATCAAGTAATCTTCAAACAACTCTGGGTGCCGGTCCAGGAAAGTTTCCACCTCCCCGAAGTTCAGGCGGAAGCTTGTCATGGTCCCTAGCACCACTCACCTGGGCTTTCTACCCTTGGACCAAAGGTTTACCTGCCCCGAGGAGGAGGCCTCTAGCTGTTCCTGCACATACTTCCCCGCGACAGCATCCACAGCTCGATGCCACCTCCCCTAACAGCCCGAGATTGTGCCCTAGCCGTGGAATCCCAGCCGGAGGAGTCCGGTCCTTCTCTGGCTCGGAGTGGCTGGCACCGGCCCTACCCCTTGTCCAACTACTCCTGCTCAGCACAGGTGCCCGGCCCTGAGCTGCCGCTGCGGCCGCCACCGCTCCAGTCGTGGAAACTGAAGCTACAGCTGCTCTCGCTCCTGCTGGCTGCCGCCGCTGCTCCGCCGCCGCTGGAACCAGCTGAGTGGACCACAGTGAGAGGGAGGTCGGGCAGGACACGCCCCCGAGAGCGGCACGGAGCTGGAGGGAGTTCGGGAGGAGGAGGAAGGCTCCGACGAGCCAAAGTCCACCGCCGGGCTGCCAGACAGTTCCTGGAAGAGGCTCTGGATCGCCAGTCTGTGCTGGGAACGAGGCGGACTCTGGATTGGAACTGGATAAGAAAGCGAAAAAGCACCTAGTTTCTTTCTCCTCCTTCCTCACCTCCCAGTCTTCCCCTTCCCCACCCCTTAATTCTTTGGCTATTGAGAGTCCCCTGGGGGCCCAGTGAGTGCCCTGCTACGAAGAAGTGTTGATGTTTTGCAAGAATCAGAACCCAGACGCCAACTCCAAGGAAAAAGGGGATGCTCAGAGGCAGACAGGCTTATTTTTCTGGGATGGGACTGTGGACTGTTAGTTCTCAGGATTCCTGGGACTGCCCAGTACTTTGTGGGTGTTCAGTAAATATTAATGGAATTGGATTTCCCTGAAATTACCAAATAAAGTTTCCCAAGTGAGCAATGCATGACTTTAACGAAATTCACAGATGGAGTGAGTGTGTGTGTGTGTGTGTGTGTGTGTGTGCGCGCGCGTGTGTTTAGAAAACACAGTGACTTGGATTAGGGTCCCAGCCTAGTAAGGTCTTATAACACAGTGAACTTGAAGGCCTTAGGGGACATCCTTCCAGTCAGTCCCACACACTGGATAGTTGTCTTCATGAATTACTTGCCATCTCCTCTTTTTTCTCCATTCCATCTCTTAGGGCCACTAATGCTTTCTTTACTCTCAATGTCCGGGGCTTTTGTACACAGATTTCTCCTCTGTTGGGGAGGCCATTCTTTCTCCCGCCCTGGAGATGCTTTGGATCAGGTTAGTCAGTTGGGTGGGGTGGGGGGATCAGGTTTCCCTTAAGCCTTTTCTGAGGCCAGCGGCTAAACCAGGTGATTAGCCAGGAAAGAGAAGCAGCTTGATGACACTTTCTTGAAGCCCAGGGGTTCTTTTGCAGCAACACAAAAGCAGATGGAGAAGTGGGGACAGCAGGCCAATCCAGGCTGTCAGGCGATGCGGGGAATAACAAAGAGCTGCAGAGGAGGCAGGTCCAGCCTTCTGTGGTGCCTCCAAGTGGCAGAAACAAACATAACTTCAAAGTTGATAAAGCTTACTCCCAGAAAGTATCTTAAGAGCCAAGCAGACAAGGTGTATCGAGCACTTGTTCTGAGTTGATCACTTTATAGTAAGAGCAATGTAATTCTTTTAACAGACACATTTTACAGGTGGGAAACCTCTTACCTGAGGCATACAGTCCGTCCATGCCAGAGCTGGGATGCTTATCATTTAGCTTGGCTCCAGAATGAGGCTCACTCTTAGCCATGTCACTGGATTGTCTTTCATCCTTGTCAGTTGCATACTATCTGCACTGCAGGTACTAAGTTAAAATGTTCTCTGCACACCCCCCTGACAGTACGAGGAAAAGCAGAGGCAGAAAGAGAGGCACTTGTTCAAAAACTTCAAATTCTTAGATTAATCAGCAAGCCAAAGGGCATGGCCTTGGCACTGAACACAAGTGTGAATACAACAAAGATCTGCCTTCAGGGGGCTTACATTATAGTAGGAACACAGCCAGAAAATCAATGTATAGAGTAAGAGAATATCAAGGAGAAGCACTATGCATGCAGAAAAATAACCCTTGGTGATACGTTTGATACAGAAACGGGGTGGAGGAAAAACCTCTCTGAGGAGGGGACACCTGAACAGAGATGTGATGGGAATGAGCAAATGCTTTGTTAATATCTGGAACAAGAATGTGCTAGGTGTGGGAAGCAAGTGCTACAGTTGTGAACTGATATCTGTTTGAACATTTCAGAAACAGCAGGAGGCCAGTTAGGAGACAGGGACCCAGGCATACAATACTGGTAGTTTGGAGCCAATGGCTAATAAGGTGAGCCGTGATGAACTAAATGGGAAAATGCTTAGCACTGTCCCCAGCAGAGAGAAAATATTCAGTAACTGGTAGTTAACCTACTACTTTATTTTTATCATCATTAACCTAATGCAAGAGTATGTGGAAACCTCAATGCATGGGATCCTATTTCTGGTCATGTGAGTGATCTACCAGTAAAGACAGTTAATGGTATGCTGGAACTGGCTCATAGGGACTCATAAGATCCTATTTTAGCCTGTTTCCAATTCTACATTCAGTCACATCATGTATCTTGAAATCAGCCACAATGGAAATGTTTGCACTGTGGAAATCAACAAATGTTCCTACTCAGAATTTTTTTGATACACTACCAGTTGTTAAATCATTACCGTAATTAAGAGGAAACAATCTAAATGTCCAATAATTAATGAATGTATAAGTAAAATGTGGCATATCCATACAGTGAAATATTATTCAGCCATAAAAAGGAATGAAGTACTGATACATGCTATAAGTTTGCTAAACCTTAAAAGTATTATGCAAAGTAAAAGAAACCACTCACAAAGGATTACATGTTGTATGATATCATTTATATGAAATGTCATGAGACAGAAAATTCATTATTTTCTGGATGAAATACAAGTAGAATAAGAGTAGAGGTTTTGATTTTTTTGGAGGGAAGGTAATATAAATGTCCTACAATTGTGGTGGTGGTTGCAATCTGCAAATATGTTAAAGTTCATTGAGATATATGTTATGGCTTGTGTTTAGATGTCCTCTCAAGCCTCAGGCAGTCATAGGTGGGGCTTTTTCAGAGGTGGCCAGATTTAGAGGGTGTGACTGATTTATGATACAATGCTAAGATTAAAGGTGCGAGGATTAAGGCTGAATGATTATTAAATCAGCTCACTGGTTTGGCACCTGCCATAATCTCATTAGAGTATAAAAGGGGCAAAAAGAACCTACTAAGGTCTCCTCTTTGCTTGCTTTGCTACCTTCTGCCCACCATGAACTGCTTCTTCTTTGTGATGCCTGTCTGCCCTGCTGTCTTGCCTTGAAGCCAGATGATTACGGACTGAAACTTCTACAAACTGTGAGCCAAATAAACCTTTCCTCTTTTAATTTTGGGTGTTGGGTATTTTGTCTCAGCAATGAGAAAAGTAAGACAATATACTTTTTTGTTTGTTTGTTTGTTTTTTTGAGACAGGGTCTCACTATGTAGTTGAGACTGACCTGGAACTCACTATGTAGCCAGCCTGGTCTCGAACTCACAGTAATCCTCCTGCCTCAGCCTCCCGAGTGCTGGGATTATAGGCATGCACCACCATGCCCAGCAACAATATACATTTCAAATGAGCAAACATAAGGGTATGTAAATTATATCTCAATAACACTGTTATAAAGCATCAACAAAACCATTCAGCAACTAGTAAATGTACAATGGCTCTGTTGTACATGGTGGTGAGAAAAACATTGAATATTCTCAAGAAAGGAGAGAAGTGGACCAGTTCTGGGCTGACTGGCAACAGAAGATTTAAGAAATAGACATTTCCATGTACTTATTACACAAGCACTAGTATTTACAATGTTCCAGGCTCTAAACAGAAAAGAAGACCAAGATAAGATCTCTGCATGGACCTGGGATTTAGTTCAGTGGTGCCATCGCCTGCCTCAAAAGCGCAAGGTCTGAGTTCGATCCCCAGTACAAAAACAGAAAAGATCTCTGCATTTGATGGAGGTCCTCAGTTGACAGCACCAAGAGAAGTGGGAGCAGAGAATACTCAGAAGGATGGGGGAAGCAGTAAAGGAGATGTGAGAACAGAATTTAGCATTTCTGACTTGTTTCTAATTGGCTTCAAGCCTTGTTCTCTGCTTGGCACAAGAGGTCATTAAGGGAGTTAGTGGCTGGGGAAGAGAGTAAGAAGGTGACAGAAGATATTCCAGAGTTTCCATTTCATTCTTATTTTCAGTCCATAGAATGGTATGTGTATTAGTCATAGCCTCAGCAGGAGACAGAACACATTCAACTGATTCTAGAGAATTAATTTACAAAGGGACTAATGAAAGGGTAGAGTATGCATAAACAACAGGGATAATGAAGAAACCTGGAATTCTAAGCAACAAAGTCACCACCCCTATACCTGATGGGAAGAGAGGGAGAAAGATTTCCAGTTCTCAGAAGGAGAGAGCTTTATGTAGTGAACAATGTTTGAGGGGAGCAGTGATAACCTGTAAAAAGTATGGGCAGCTCAAGTGGACCTCAAAGAGGTCTATCAGGGATAAGTATGTGAATTCATTCTTCTCCTTCCTTCCTGTCACTGACCAGAGCTAACTAGAAGCTAGATGGTATTGCAACCTGCTGACAACTCCATATAGGTCAAGTTCCCTGGGCAGAAAATAGGAAAGACAAAGAATCTATATAAGATCTGGAGGTAAATGAAAAATACTTGGCCCAACATAGAACCCTGAAGAAGTCTCCTTAGGAAAAAATTTTAAAAAATTTTCTCTTAAGGGAATTTAGAGAATTTAAAACACTAAAGAATTTCTGTGTAATCCTGCCCTCTTCTGCTCATCTGCTAATTCTATCAAAACAGTTATGATAAAGTCTCCAACAACATTTTGAGGTTACAGAACCCCTTCACTGGCACACACTCACTTATCAAAAAAAGCATACCATGAAAATAGAAACAATATTGTGAAGATATTGTGCATTACACAGAATTCCTTATTGCACTATCATACCCCAAAAGGTATAGCATTGTGAAGAAAAATCAATCAGCTCCAGCAAAGGTTCTATAGACTCTTTCCTACCTGTCCTCCAACCTGTAAATGTTGTCCAACTAGCATCTTACTGGAGAATATAAAAGGATCTTCCTATTTTGATGTCTGTTTTTATCTAAGTATTAATGTAATTATCATTGCTATTGCAATTAGAAGTGAGTACTTCTAATGTACAAAATACTGGATGCCATGCAGCATAACTTTTATCATTCCAAAGAAGGCCAATTACATTTTAGTACTGGATGGAATCTTGATAAGCATCTAATATTGCACTTTCCACATTATTACACACGTGGAAATTGAGATCTAAAGCAGACACACAATTCCCCTGCTCTTGGTGCCATCCCACTTTTCCAACATAGCACAGCAGGGTACTAACACTGTTTACCCAATGAACTTCTGCCTCCCAAGCTTTCCCTAATCAGTTCATCTCGAGAAAC